GCTTCCAAGGAGGCACTTTCTGGCACTTCTATGCAATATTACTCAGCTTTTTTGTTGTTAGAAAAAAAAAATCAACTCACTGTTTAATAGTGGGTAGGTATTTTATGAACATTGGAACTTGAGCCGCTGGGAGTTAACATGGAGTAGCAGAAGCAAATACTACTCCTAGTGGCTTATGAGATCTGTAACGAAATCCGTTTTGGTGGTTGGTTTTTAATCTGAGTTTAGCTTATTTTTTTTAATAGTCAAGAAACACTTTTAAAGACAAGTAACACACAGAAGGGAGAAATGTGCTTAGTGTAGGTTTTGCAGTAATGACTTGAAAACCAGACCATTTTAATTGTCTATAATTTCTCTTTCGAAACTTGAAAAAATATGAGAAAAATCAAATAAGTGATCGGTTTTACATGATTAAAATAGAGATCCATGAAATACTATGCCTTGGGATGTTTAAGTATTTTATAGAAGTTGTGCTTGTATTTGGGCACGTATGGGTATGATGGAATCCTAATAAGGCTGCCGCCAGCCCCCATATTCTAACTTCCTTATGGGTCTCACTGAATAGCAGGTATATCCTGATTTAACCACACAATCTGGCTTTAACCACACCACAGGCCCCCAGACTCAGTCGTAGGCCTCACTGAACAGGATGCCCACTGCCCCTACCTAGCTGCTGCCCCTCCCTCTGACTCAATATTCTAACTTCCTCATATATGCTTTACTGCCTCACTAGAAGAGCAGGTGTGTCCATGACATGCCCCACTAAAACAGCAGGCATGTCCATGTGATGGAATGCTAGCCACTGCCTCTAGCTAGCCACTGTCCCCAGACCCATTCCTCATATTTCCCACAGAAACAGCAGGTGTGTCCACGCACTCAACCACAACCACATCGATCTAATCTCAGACAGGACCTCAATAGCCAGGCAATCAGAAGGCAGCACCACCAGGATGCCCAAGCAGGATGTGGACCCCAAAACAATAGAAGGGACCACCAGTACAGTAATAGCAAAAGCTGTCCTATATATGAACTTATGACACAGAGAGGCTTACTATAATATCATTATCATATATTAATGCCCCCACCCAGTTTGGGTTTTTCTGTATGCGTTGTGGATAATCACATACGAAGTTCCACTAAGCCTAGGACTCCCTCCCTATTACCTAATTCCTTAACAACCCCCTCCTGCCTTTTTAATATTCATATATTCTATTATGTAATTGCATCTTTTACTCTATAAAAATCCCCGTCTTTCTCTGATAAGTTGCTGGTTCCCCCTTAGAACCAAGCCCGCTTCTGAGAGGCATGCCCTCCCAATAAATGCCTTTGCTTGGATTGGAGATGGTCTGAATCTGTGAATTCATTTGAGATGACCCCCACAACACACCATGAAACCACAACAGACACTTATTTAAAAAAAAAAAATCTTTGAGGTTGTAGTTAGGAGCAAGTTGAACATTGAGATTAATAGATGTTCAATCATACATTTTTTATAACTAGACTTTTTCCCCCTAGCAATTCAGGACAGGTTGGAATTATTTCTCCATCACACTTGAATAACTCTTAAGGACATAGTGATGGCTAGTTATAAAATTAAAAAGCTTTTTGACACATTTTGAAAACAAAAAAAACACTTTAAAATTTTTGTCAAGAGTGTGATGCTTCTGTTTGAAACCACTCTCTACAGTAAGCATGTCCCATATGAGCCCTAAAGCTTAGTTGGAGATATTTCAGAGACATAGTCAAGAATACCAGACATTTCTCTATGGCATCTGGGTTTTGAAAGAAAATAAATTGAACATAAGAACTTGGGGAATTATTCCATTCTAGAAATATTTGGTCCCATTTCGAAACAATCACCCTATCTGTACACATGTGAAATGTCCTTTAGTACCCCTCATACTACAAGGGTCAGATTTGCCATCCAAAAAAAAAAAAACAAACTACTTTTTTTTCTTTTGTATTTTAATAAACACTGAAGAAGCCAGAGCTGTTAAACTTTATCTTGGGAAAAACTCAGAACTGGTTTGTTTGGTGTTGTAGGAACACTTACTGCTTTCAATACTCAATTAGTAACCAACTATTTTGTATAGTTGTTTTTGGTTTTTATTTCAATAATCAAGCACTGTAATTAAAGTTATTAGAATAAAATCTCTGAACTATTTTTAAAAAGAGTACATGGAAAGGGATTGGCTTTGGTCAAGAGAAAGGCTAGCTCTTCATCAAAGACTGGAATGAAGGAAGAGATAGTAAAGCAGGGATGCGAGATAAAGAGAAGGGGAGAAAAGGAAACTCCTAGCAAATAGCTTCAATTTTTTCCAGTCAAGTATGAGATGGAGTCCTCAACTGAGAAGGTGGGGAAAAGGATGATGTGAGAGGTTTGCAGAAAGAGAGAGAGAGAGAGAGAGAGAGAGAGAGAGAGAGAGAGAGAGGAAGCTGTGGTGAATGGAGCAGAGAACTGAATAGGGAGGACTGGAAGGATTGCCTTGCTGCCATGAGAACTCAGTAGAAATTAGATAATATAAATCTGAAGTGGAGCCAATCAGCATAGTTTTCAGACTTTTTCCAGCTCCATTCAGCAACATGTGAATAGGAGGGATGGGGGATGGAGGAGGATGGTGAGAGTAATACAGGGTTGAATGTTTGTCAAAGCATGATAGGTAAAGGGCAAGGGGGCAAGGAATTTGAAAGAAGAGGGATTAGAGGCAGCTAGGTGGTACAGTAGATAGTGCACCAGTCCTAGAGTCAGGAGAACCTGAGTTCAAATCTGGCTTCAGATACTTATTAGATATATGACCCTGGGCAAGTCACTTAAACTCAATTACCTCCCACACACACACACACAAGAAGGAAAAAAAAGAGTTGAATTGATTTACCAACACAAGGGAGGAGAGTATAATTAGTGCAGAAGTGATAGCCTGAGAAAGACCTTGGAAGGTGAAGGAATTGGAGGTGTCAGTGAGAAGAATGGGGTAAGGGTTTTTAAAGGACAGGGAAAGATGAAATGATGAAAGATTTTGATGAGATAAAGAAATTTTGCAGTTCATGAACCTAAAAGCAGATTTTTTGTGGGTAAGATCAAGGACATGACCATCTCTGTGTGTAGCTGAGGTGAAGTGGAGGAATAGGTCATGGGAATTGAGTAAGTGGAGGAAGTAGGAAGTTAGGATGTTTGAAGGAGTGTCAGCATGTATGCTGAAGTCCCCTAGTATGAGGGTTGGGTTGGAGGGAAATATTGTGAGCCAAGCACTAAACTCATTGAGCTCAAAGAAAGAAAATGGAAATGACCACCAGGATCAGGATTGGGTGATAAACTTGGATAACATGAAGGTCAAAAGAGAAGTTACAGAGTAATGGTAGTAGTCAGTCTGGAAGTGACAATGGGGAGCAAGGAGTATTCTGTTCCTCCTACCACAGCTAAAGATTCAGAGAGATAAAAGGAATTATAGACATGAATGGAAAGGCAGGCCAGGGAATCTATATTGTCAGGGTGCAGGTAGGTCTTCCTGAGGGCCAGGAGAGAGAAAAGAAGTTTAAGATGAAAGGAAGTTTGTTAACTATGGAGCAGGCATTTCAGAGAGCACAGTGGAAGGTGTGAGCAAGACTAGAGTAGGACATTGGGAGGAAGTGTCTTTATCAATTGAAAATGAAAAGTATAAAGGGCTTAAAATACACTTAACATTGGTGAATGAATCTAGGCTGAGCATTAGTGGAAGAAGAGAGGTTCCTTGAGTGAGGCAGATGATTAAAGGCTTCAAGGTCATGACTTGGGGGTTGGCCTTGTGGCATATGATATTGTGTTCAGGGAGCCTCAGGGAGGCTTGCTGTTCAATGGACAGAAGTGAGAGGACCCATGGAGTCTGGTGACCCAATCAGGACTGTATGAACTGGGCTTGGCAGTGCAGCAGGAGTTGGCCAGTAGCCTGATAGAAGCCAGGAGGTAGGTGACAATGTTACCTTGCCTCTAGGCAGCCTCAAGGGTAGAGCTAGGGAGCTTGAAAGTTTATGATCTGTTTGTCCGTTGCAAACTGGGAGGTACACAAGTGGGCACAAGTTGACTAAACAAAATGGGTTTTTATACTGACAAAGAATTACACAGTCAAGGGTCTGGAAGGGGTTTCTAGGGAACTGAGCAGCACCCACTTTGATAAGTCCCATCTTTCCCAAGGCCTATACAGCTGCTCCAAAATTATAGTACCACCCTAGAGTGGAGATTCTTCCTATCCCCACTGCATGGTAAAAATGTTAGTTTTGCCAGACAAAAATGCTCTCCTTCCTCAGACTTACACAATCCACATGATTTACAGTACCAGTTAAGGGCAAAATCCAGGTTGGTCCTCTGCATCATAGCTCTAAACCTTACTGCTTCTCAGCTCTGGCTCTTATAGAATTGGCTTGAACTATGAACTCTTCTGCGCCACTCCACCAATGCTGCTCCACCTGACACTTGTCCTTTCCATCTGCAATTGATTCTGCTGCCATCATTGGGTGACCTCTCTACCTAATGTCCTTTTCCTACTTTATGGTTTCTCTAGGGAAGTATTAAAACTCTTAAGTGAGAGTACCAGGGATCTAGTTAATACATTTCCATAAATATTGTTAATCAGGTTCAAACCTTTGCCCTGCCCACAAAAGGGACGCTTGAGTGACTAAGCAGGCTTCTCTAAAGACCAGCTGACCCTTTCTTTTCATTTTAAGAAAACAATATCATTCCCCTCTTCCCTACTTCAAGATGTAGGCAATTGGAACACTCCCCAACCCCCCTCCCATGTCACTGAATACCTTCAGCTGTGTCTTTTTTGGCCCATAGACCCACTTCCTGTAATACAATCAAAATTTACAATCCTAGGTTCATTTACACATTCATATCTCACCGAGTCACAGTCCCACAAACATCAGGATTTAATCCTTAAAGCAAAAATGAGGCAATCAGCACGCAGCTTTAAAATCATACAAATGACTTTTATTCAGGATTGATTAGAGGAAGTAAGAGTGGGGGATGGGATGGAGATGGTGTTGGTGGTTCTTTAAATATCTTTATTTCTATTTTCAAGAATTAATTTACTCTATTAAAATTACATCGGTATTCTTCATTCTCCTGAAAGGGAAACAAAGGAGATTACTAACATATCAAAGGGAAAAGGGAAAACAAGCTGAATGCCAAAGTGGACAACATCATCCAGTATTATTGTTTGTTTTGTTTTTATGCCAGGCTCCAACACTGAATGCCCTGTAATTACCTTTTTTGCAGTTACTACTCTCCAGTCTCATCCAAAATATTCATCAGAGAAGGTCTACCTACTTCACATGTAGTTGTCATGTGAAAACAATGAACTACTCATAGATCTTTTTGGTTAGGGCTGCTACGTTGGCTTCTTCCTGTTCCTTTTCCTTTGATCTCCTTCTTTCCCCGGCTTCCTGGTGGGCTTTTGTCCTACCTCTCAGGCTCTCTCTATCTTTTCTCTCCTTTCTGTCCTCAGGTTCCTGAAAGAGAAAGATCAGAGAGCTCTAAAGTCACAACAACAGCTGACAATGCTCGGTATTTCTACTAGCATCAACCAGGCATGGTAAAACCATTGGTCATGGTAGTTTTCTATTTCTAAACAAAGCAGCCTTTATGTATCAGGCTCCAAATTTGGATGTTTTCATAATAGATCAGCTTAAAACTAAGGTTGTTATAAAAGCATAGGTCAGTCATTTTATGTACATATGAAAAAATTAGGATTAAATATCATCTTTAATCAATGGAAAGGGGCTTGCTTTGTGTCAGTCCAGTGCATATCTGACCTAATTCACCCTACTTTTCTTTCTGACCAGAACTGGCACCTAGGGCAAATTCAGATAGGTAAAGGGAGGTGAGGTGCAAAGGACAGCCTGATGACAATGTAGTCACATCATGAGAAGGGGTAGTCTGGTCCCAGGAGATTGTAGAGGCAACTAGGTGATGCAGTGGAAACTACTGGTCCTAAAGTTTAAATCTAGCCTCAGAGACCTACTAGTTGTGTGACCCTGGGCAAGTCGTTTAACTTCTAAATGCCTCAGCTTCTCCAGCTGTAAAATGGTGATCATAATAGTTCCTACCTTCCAGGGTTGTTGGAGGAAGAAATGAGATAATATTTTTGAAGTGCTTTGCAAACTTTAAAGCAATATATAAATGCTATCTATTACTATCATAGGAGGAAAGATGAACCTAGGAGGGGTGTACCCTAGTAGCAGAACAATGGGAATATTCCACAGAGACAATCTACTCATGTGGAAGTATAGCTTGGTTGAAGACTATGAGGCAAGGTGGAGGAGACCAAGGTTGCTGCTGAGAGGAAATATGCCCCTCTCTGATGAGGAAATGCAGACCTCTGGATGTCAGTACTCTGGGGCAAAGCAATGATTCCCCAACCATGTCAGTGGCACTCTATCACACACAGTCTCAAGCTCTATGTCACATTCCTAGATAATATGTGGCATTAATAAAACTCCTTAAAATGTGCAAAATTCTTTAAATATAGTCCTCCTTTCTACTCTTCATTGAATAAGATAATATCTCTGTTCATCAATGTTTGTTGAGCTCTTGAGGGAAAAAAATAATGTAAAAAAAAATGAGTTGGTCTTGTAGTTAGAAAAAGAGATGTGTTCCATTGATACTTATGTAGTATAAAGAGAAATCGAGAAAGGCCCTCAGTACATTGGGTGGACCTTCCTATGGTGAATTTCTGGGAGGAGATGAATGAGATCTGCACAGAACAGGAAGAAAAAACAACTACAATCTACATCATTGAAGAGAATGCTACCATGATATCATAAATCCACTGGAGTAATTATTGGTGTTATTAGTCATTATTAAAATTAATTGTCTATATTATTGTTTATTTATATTATTAATTAATAACATAATCATTGTATTAATAGATAATTATTGCAATTATTATTATTAATTTAGATTCATACAAATCCACAAAGGAAATGCCTTATCTCCCATAACTCCTCTCTTCTATATGTCTTTAATCTCCTTTAAGGAGTTTAAGAACACCTCAGAACAGCTGCTGCTCCTTAAATAGTCTCCAATCAATGGTCCCTAGGTGCTTTCTGCATCAATTTTTGCTATACCTTTTAGAAACACAGAGAAAAGTGTTAACAGCTAAAATCTATCATGGATCGCTAGCTATTTGGACTGAATACTAGAGAGGGGCAAAGTGAGGATTTTCTTCTCACCTCATTTTGTGAAAAGTGGAAATGAGCAAACCAATTATTGTAGGGGGTACCCAGTAGGTTCTTAGTGGAGGGCAGAGGGGAGGCTTACTACGTGTGATGATAATGGGCAAACATGCCCAAAACATTGCTATTTAAAGTTTCCAGCAATCATTACTTTTCAAAGCAGTCATTTAACAGTAGAAGGACTAGGCGTATGATGTAAAATTTTACATGATGCAAAATTTGAAATGAAAATTTTCATCCTATCTATATTTTCTTTGTCTTACGTGTGTTAAAAAAAAATGCCTGGCATTTGTTGACACAGTTTGGTCTTTCGAGATATTCTAAAATTTCCATCCTTTAGTTAAAAACTTGGGATCATCAAGGTCATCGCTATCTATAAATATTTAACATAAAATTATTTTTTATTTTTTTTCAGGCAATTGGGGTTAAGTGACTTGCCCAGGGTCACACAGCTAGTAAGTGTCAAGTGTTTGGTCTGAGGCCGGATTTGAACTCAGTTCCTCCTGACTTCAGGGCCGGTCCTCTATCCATGCACCACCTAGCTGCCCCTATTTAACATAAAATTGCACAGTGCTTTGAACATATGTATACTTTCTCATTCATTCATTCATTCAATCAGAATCCCACTACTAAATAATAGCAAACTAGAGAGTAAATTGATCTCAGATCTAGTTTTCAGTGAACAAGGTGATTCCACAGGAACCCTTATTTCTAAAGTGTTTCCAGGTATCAAATAGTGCCTGTTAACTTACCAAAGAGACTGATCTTTTGGTTCTAATGCAGAGTTGCTGCTCAAAGTGCTCTGAAAATTCTTGGATGGAATGTGATCTACCTTTAGGCTTCATTTGCCCCTGCAACGAACTGTTCTGGGAGCACATTTTGCCTGTACTCATGTGATGATGGAGTCCAAATTCATGGTCCTCATGAGAATGCCTTCTGGGGTGTCCAGAAACTGGAACAACTGTGGAGGGTCCATGAATGGTGGACACGGGAAGGGCAGCAAACTGTGTCTAAAGAAAAGAGAATGTTCTATATTTATAAAGAAGCAAAATATTTAAATGGCTTTCAGCTCAACAAAATTAACTTTGAAGCAGATTTATACTTAAGTCAGAATTTCATTCCACAGTGAGGAAGCATATGCAAGTTGTTGAATGAATTAGGCTGGATATCCAAGGATTGTCATTCAGCTCTGGTTCTTCTCGATCAGTAGGATATCAATAAGCAGTTTCTCAAGACTGACCTTGAGACTGAGAGAATGCAGTCCAACAAGTTTTTGCTTTGGGGAATGAAGCTGCATGTTCACTAATGCACATTCTCCTCCTAAGCAACATAAAAAGTCTAAATAATGAGGGTTTTGATAAGGGCTTAAAAGAGAGAATTAAATATCACCTTAGATCTGATAACTTTGTTTATGTCGTTATTGAATTGGTAAACGATTTGAGGAGAACAGAGAAAGTATGACTCAACTGAGGCCCGGGAGGAGGAGCTCCTACTTTTAGTTATTTTGCATAATTGAGATCAAATGAGATAGCATAGGTAAGCCATTTTATAAACATTAAAACATTATGTAAATACCAACAATTATTATTGATTATTGTAGCTCCATTTAAAAATATTTTACTTTATTTCATTAAATATTTCTCAATCACGTGTAAAAAAATTTTAACGATCATTTTTTAAAATTGTGATTTCCAAATTCTCTCCCTCCCTCCTTCCCCTCTTCCCTCCTTGAGAAGGCAAGCAATTTGATATCCATTATACATGTGAAGTCATGTAAAACATAATTCCATATTAGCCATGTTGCAAAAGAGAACACAAACAAAATAAAACAATAAAAATAAGGAAAGTTTTTGAAAGTAAGCTTCAATCTGCATTCAGAGTTCATCAGTTCTCTCTCTGCAGATGGACAGCATTTTTCATCATGGATCCCATGGAATTGTCTCAGATCATTCTCTTAATTGGAGTAGTTAAGTCTTTCACAGTTGATCATCCTTACAATACTGCTGTTACTGTGCTCAATGTTATCCTGGTTCTGTTCACTTCACTTTTCATCAGTTCATATAAGACTTCCCAGGTTTTTCTGAAATCAACCTGTTCATCATTTCTTATAGTACAATAGTATTCTATCACAATCATGTACCACAACTTGTTCAACTATTCCCCATTTGATGGGCATCCCCTCAATTTCGAATTCTTTTCTACCACAAAAAAAATAAAAGCTATTATAAATATTTTTTGTATGTAGAGGTCCTTTGCATTATATTTGATCTCTTTGAGATATAAACCTAGCAGTGTATTGCAAAGGGTATGCACAGTTTTATAGCCCTTCGGTCATAGTTCCAAAGTGTTCTCCAAAATAATTGGACTAGTTCACAGCTCTATCAATAGTGTATTAGTGTCCCAATTTTTCCACATCCCCTCCAGCTTTTGTCATTTTCCTTTTCTGCCATGTTAGCCAATCTGATAAATGTGAGGTGGTATCTCAGAGTTCTTTTGATTTGTATTTCTCTAATTAGTAGAGCATTTTTATGTGACTATTGATTACTTTGGTGTCTTCTTCTGAAAACTGCCTGTTCATATCTTTTAACCATTTATTAACCGGGGAATGGCTCTTATTTTTATAACTTTGACTTGGTTCTTTATATGTTTGAGAAACAAGGCCTTTATCAGAGAAACTTGTAAAAAACATTTTCCCAGTTTCTTGTTTTACTTCTAATTTGGCTGCATTGGTTTTGTTTGTGCAAAAGCTTTTTAATTTCATGTAATCAAAATTATATATTTTACTTCTTGCAATCCTCTCTATCTCTTATTTGGTCATAAACTCTTCCCTTACTCATAGATCTGACAGGTACATTTTTCCATGCTCTCCTAATTTGCTTATGATATCACCCTTTATGTCTAAATCATTTATCCATTTTGACTTTAGTCTTGATATACAGTGTGAAATGTTGGGATATGCCTAGTTTCTGCCAAACTGCTTTCCAGTTTCCCTAGCAATTTTTGTGAAATAATGAGTTCTTACCCAAAAAGCTTGGATCTTTAGGTCTATCAAACAGATTACCATGGTCATTTACTACTGTGTACTGTGTAACTAATCTATTCCATAGATCCGCCACTCTATTTCTTAGCCAGTACCAGATTGTTTTAATGATTATTATTTTGTAATATAGTTTGAAATATGGGTTTGCTAGGCTTCCTTCCTTAACATGATTTTTGTTTCTCCCCTTGATATTCTTGATCTTTTGTTCTTCCAGATGAATTTTGTTACTATTTTTTTTTTAGCTCTATAAAATATTTTTGGTAGCTCAATTTATATGGCACTGAATAAGTAAACTAATTAGGTAGAATTGTCATTTTTGTTATATTATTCAGCCTACCTATGAGAAATTAATATTTCTCCAATTGCTTAAATGTTTTTATTTGTGTGGAAAGTGTTTTTTAATAGTGTTCATATAATTTCTGGGTTTATCCTGGCAGGTAGACTCACAAGTATTTTATATTGTCTACAATCATTTTATATGACATTTTTATTTCTACCTCTTGCTGCTGGATTTTGTTGGTAACATATAGAAAGGCTGATGACATATGTGAGTTTTTTTTTGTATCCTGCAACTTTGCTGAAGTTGTTAATTGTTTCAACTAGTTTTTAGTTGATTCTATAGGGTTCTCTAAAGATACCATCATATCACCTGTGGAGTGATAGTTTTCTTTCCTCATTGATTATTTTTATTCCTTCAATTTCTTTTATTTGTCTTATTACTATAGCTAGCATTTCTAGTATAATAACTGAACAATAGTGGTGATAATGGACATCCTTGCTTCACTCCTGATCTTACTGAAAAGGCTTCAAGTTTATTCCCATTATAAATAATGTTTGCTGAGCCAAGATGACAGAGTAAAAGCAGTGACGTGCTTGAGCTCTCCCCCAAACCCCTCTAAATACCTATAAAAAATGGCTCTAAAAAATTCTAGAGCAGCAGAACTCACAAAAAGACAGAATGAAACAAATTTCCAGCCCAAGACAACCTGTATGGTTGATTAGAAAGGTCTATCACACCGGATGGGGAGAAAAACAGTTCAGCATGGGTGTGCAGGCAAAACAGGCCTCGATGAACCTGGAGCAGGCCTCAGAGGACTGAATCACAGGCAGCTGTGGCAGCTTCCAGACTTCTCAACCCACAAAAACCAAAGACAACTTATAAGTTCAGTAGGAAAAGTCTGTGACCGCAGTGAGAGAGAAGCTAGGTCCCAGTTCCAGCCTGGTGCATCCTGGGGCAGTGGATACGTCTGGAGCTTCCAGCCCACAGACTGAGGGGAAATTGAGTGGCTGATTAGAGGGGGATTGCAAAGATCTCTTTGCTGGTGCTGAGGCAGGAATCTCTTGCTTTGCCTGTGCTGGATCTGGGTCACAGTTCTGGGTGGTGATCCTGGGGCGAGGAGGAGTGCTAGCATGGTGGAGCTTGTAGTGGCAGTGGAGGGGGAATCCTCCTCACAGTTCCAAGGCAGAAAAGAGTGCTTGTGGTCAGACCACAGCCCAGGCCAAGAAAGAAGTAAACACCTTGCTTTTGATCATACCACCTTAGAAGAGCTGAAAACTTACAAGTCCCTAGAAGTATCTCTGAAAACAGCTGCACAAAACCCCAGATGCTTGGGACAGTACATTCTCCATGGTGGAAGCAGACCCCTACCTTAACAAAGAGTTTAAAACTCAAGTAATTGGCTAGGATCATGAGCAAACTGTGCAAAAAAAAGTCAGACCATAGAATCATTCTTTGGTGACAAAGGAGATCAAAACATACAACCAGAAGAAGACACCAAAGTCAAAGCTCCTACATCCAAAGCCTCCAAGAAAAATATGAATCGGTCCCAGGCCATGAAAGAGCTCAAAAAGGATTTTGAGAAGCAAGTAAGAGAAGTAGAGGAAAAACTGGGAAGAGAAATGAGAGTGATGCAAGAAAATCATGAAAAACTAGTCAACAGCTTCCTAAAGGAGACCCAAAAAAATACTGAAGAAAATAACACCTTAAAAAATAGACTAACCCAAATGGCAAAAGAGGTCCAAAAAAGCCAATAAGGAGAAGAATGCCTTATAAAGCAGCATTGGCCAAATGGAAAAGGAAGTCCAAAAGCTCACTGAGGAAAATACTTCCTAAAAATTAGAATGGAGCAATTGGAAGCTAGTGACTTTATGAGAAATCAAGACATTGCAAAACAAAACCAAAAGAATGAAAAAATAGAAGACAATGTGAAATATCTCACTGGAAAAACAATTGACCTGGAAAATAGATCCAGGAGAGAGAATTTTAAAATTATTGGACTTTCTGAAAGCCATGGTCAAAAAAAGAGCCTAGACATCATCTTTCAAGAAATGATCAAGGAAAACCGTCCTGATATTTCAGAACCAGAGGGCAAAATAGAAATTGAAAGAATGCACTGAGCTCCTCCTGAAAGAGATCCCCAAAGGAAAACTCCTAGGAATATTGTAGCCAAATTCCAGAGTTCCCAGGTCAAGGAGAAAATATTGCAAGTAGTCAGAAAGAAACAAAGGAGACAGGATTACAGCCAAGAATCACCTACCCAGCAAAACTGAGTATAATCCTTCAGGGGGAAAAAAGGACATTCAGTGAAATAGAGGACTTTCAAGCATTCTTGATGAAAAGGCCAGAGTTGAATAGAAAATTTGACTTTCAAATACAAGACTCAAGAGAAGCATTAAGGCGTAAACATGAAAGAGAAATCATAAGGGCTTTATTAAGGTTGAAATGTTTACATTCCTGCATGGAAAGACGATATTTGTAACTCATGAGACCTTTGTCAGTATTAGGGTAATTGGAGGGGAAAAAAACATTACATGTATAGATAGATTGATAAATAGATGGCACAGGGTGAATTGAAGATGAATGGGTAATACCTGGAGAATGAAATTAAAGGGTAAGAGAGGATTATACTGGGAGAAAGGGAGAGGTAGAATGGGGTAAATTATCTCACATAAAACAGACAAGGAAAGGCT